GGGTTCTCGCAGGTGTGGATGTAGTCTGGCTGTTGTCCTGTGTCTTCTGGTCTCTCTTTTAGGATTAGTTGTATTTGTTGTATTTTCAAAAATATATATGTTTTTGGAGGAGATTCCCACTATCCTACTCACGCTGCCATCTTGGCTCTGCCCCTGCACCTGAAATTAAAACCCATTAGATTTTGCCTTTTCCTCTAGAATCTAGAGATACATGATTTAGTATGGGAACTAGTAGTTTCTATATTCAATAAACATGCCAAATAAATGTTTTTGAAGTTTTTTCTTAGCCTTTGGTGAGAGATAACTTATGGGTATCTGAAGGTTTTCCATCAGGGACCTGTGTTCATACATTCTCTAGAAGGACTCATGAGACATGGAACATAGTTATACCCAGGGCTGGGATTCTTTCCAGTGATACAGTAAAGATACACAGCAGAACCATTAAGGGTTAAGACACAGGCAGAATCTGGAGGGATGAATATGCAGGTTTCCATATACTCTCTCCTTCCCAGGAGGGGTCACACAGAACACATTTTTCCCAGCAACAGAAGTGCACCAACAAGTATGTGTGTGATGTTTGTGCCCAAGGATTCCCACTAAAGACACAGGTGCCCAAGTTGTTTACTAGAGGATGGTCATATAGGAAAATTCCAGACTCTACAAGGACAGCAGGCGTTTAGCACAAACCATATTGTTTGCACAGTCTAGGCATAGTGAATCACCATTGTCATTTAACTGTTGCTGGGGACTTTGGGAGCCAAGAACAGAGATGCTAGCCAAAAGCCCATCTTGCAAACATATGTTCTAATTATAACAATCTGAGGCTGGCCATGTAAACTCCTTACTGAAAGATCAGTAAATACCTGTCTTTCAATTTCTGTATGAATAAATTTTTATGTCAAGATATATGTGCAGGAGTGTACTTAATTCAAAAGGCACAAAAGTATAACAGCAGTTTTCCGAAAGTGTTTAAAATATTTACTCATTCAACATTAAAGTTTTCAGGAGCTTTTTTAAACAGTCATGTGAGTAACAAACTACACTGATGATGTTATTTAACAAGAAAGGCACCCTATTTCATTTGGCCTTTTTCCACTCTATTATCCCCAGAGGACAGAAAATGAAGTGTTAATGTCCTGGAACATAAGCAAACACCATGACGTCTTCCTCCATGTGTCAATAAAAGCCCTGCCACCATCTCAGTCCCCAGCTTTGGCACAATGGCTGTCCTTCCTCTTTGGTCCTGCTTGCTGGTCAGTTACTTTTCTGTTTCTTTAGCAGAACTGTCCAATCTCTCGGATCTCTATCCCCCACTGTGGGAGGAGAGTCCTGGTCAGTTCAGTGACTACCAGGTGGAGAATGGAACATACATTATTGACCCCTGGGTATACACTGACAGACTGGGGATGTATAAAATCCTAATCAACAAGACAGCCACTTATTTTGAAAAATATGCACCAGAAAATGAACAAAATATTTTATGGGGATTGCCTGTCCAGCATGGGTGGCAATATAGAACAGGTAAGAATGACTCTTGGTTTCATTCTAATGATCTTCCACTATGACGATGCAGTAATTGGGAAATGGGATCTGTATATATCCTACCATATTTGTGAAAATTGATTCTTTCTTTTCCTTTTCCCTTCATAACCATTATTTCTCTACTTCTCCTTTCTCTCCATAAATCCTTCTTTTATGTACTGCCTGTTTTTACTAGAAACTGCAATGGGGTTTAAGGCATAGTTGCTAAACACAAAAAAAGACCTCACATCTAATCTATTAAGCATTCTACAGGTATTTACTGAATACCTGCTAGGTGCCAGTTTCCATTATAAGCACAGATGAACAAAACAGTCAAGAAGATATGCATAGGAAAAATAAGGTGACGTCAAATTAGTTTGAATTTCTTGAAGATGTAATTGTGATCGCCTACACCTTGACATAGCAGTGATAGGCAAGGAAGGACACCTTGTTCGTGAGGATGTTCCTCTGCAAATGATTGATTCCTCTGGAAAATTAAGTACATTCCAGTATTTAATTAGAAGCTGTATTTGGGCCCAAAGAGTCTTAAATTAAAAGATTCCTTTTTCTTCTCAATCATAATATAAGTTGTTTATAGAGATGGTAGTACAGAATGGAGAACATAGCCGAGGGTTTTGTAACATCTTTCTGTACTGACAGATAGCAATTGCACCAGTTGGGGTGAGGATTTAATAATGTGTGCCACTGCTGAACCATTGTGTTGTATACTTGAAATGAAAATAATATTGTATATCAACTATACTTCAATAAGAAAAGATAAAAAACATTTTTAAAAAAGGTTTTTTTTTGACAGGAGAAGCTCAGGAAAAAGAGTGGTGTCTCCAGTCCACTCTGTATTGATAACACTACCAATAAGGAATAGGGAGATTATTACTCAGGTGGAGGCCAAGGCAAAGAGAAAGTTAGCAGGAGGGGAAAGAACAAGCTGTAGATGGCTAAGCTAAAAACTAAAAAAGCAAAACAAACAAACAAAAAACTGTATTGGAAGCAACAGATGAAAAGGTGAGGGAACGTAGGACAGAGAATCAGAGGGATGAACAACAGGTAGGCAAGAGAGATGGAAAAGTGACACAAAATGAAGATGAACAACCAGAAGGAGAGATTGAGAAACTACAATTTTCATTTGATGAGGAAAAGAAAGACTATATTCATTGAAAGAAATACTTTTCGACCTTTTTCTCACTTGACACACCAACCTCATGTTGTAGTTAATCTTACTTATTCTCACTTTATAGATGAGAAAACTGAGGCACAAGTGGTATGTTAT